TACGGGCAAGCAAGCGTATGTGCCTGCTGTACCGCAGCTGGTACGGGGCCCTATGCGGCACGGGTACGTGTCTGTCTGTCCCTCTGTGCGCCAGTGGGGGGTCCCCCGTGTGTTGGGGGGGAGTGGGAGTGTTGGGGAGGAGGCTAGGTTGCGCCATCGCGGGCGGGCGGGCGGGGTCGGGTGCCGAGGGCGGAGAGGGAACCCCAGCTGCAAGACCTCATTCCCTCTCCATGGATACGTTGGTCAGTCTGTCAGTCTGTCTGTCTGTCAGTCTGTCTGTCTACCGTCCTGGCAGAGGCCAGCACACACGCGGGCTCCTCCGCGGCCCACTGCGGCTAGTGGCTTAGTGGTGTCGTAATCGGGTCGCATTGCCGCCTTGCGGTTGCTTTGTGATGATGTGCGTGTGGGGGGGGTACAGCGGGATGTGGGCCAACACGGACCACGCACCGCGGAGTTGTCTCCACCTCCGTCCCGCCATCTCTAGGCCCGGGTTAACACTCCACCCCGCATATCTCCCCTAACTCACCCGCCTGCTAACCCCCTGCTACTTGCCGTCAGCTATTGGACGATGCCGTACAGTCGCTGCTACACACCGGAGGAGTACGCGGCGCTGAAGGCGGCGGAGGCGGAGGCGGAGGCAGAGGCGGAGGCGGAACGCGAGCGGGAGGTACGGCAGCGCGAGGCGGCACGGGAGTTGGCGGCGCGCGCCGTGGCCAAGGGCGCCGAGGCCATGGCGGCGGCGGCGGCGGCGGCGGCAGCTGCTGCAGCCGCCACCGCGGCGGCCACTGTGGCGGCGGAAGCTCCCGGAATAGACTCACGTGAAGGACTGGAGATCAAGAACGAGCCGTACGATTCCGTACATATGGGCCCTTTGCAAGATCCGGCGCTCCTGGATGTGAAGGTGCAGCCGCCTGAGGGGTCTGTTGCTGGCACGGGGAGCTGTACGGCAACCACCACGGGAATATCCGCGCCGTTGCGGGCGGGTTGGGTTCCGACGGCCCGCCTCATATGGCCGTTCGGTACGGCGGCCGCAGATATCGATCCGGCTGTAGCAGCAGCTGCTCCTGCCGCCGCTGCTGCCGCCGCGGCAGCGGCAGCTGCAGCGCCGTCGGCGGTGGGTCTCGCTCCGAATCCAGTTACCTTCACATCCCGGAGGGTCTGGGCTGCGGTGACGGCGGCGGCACCAGCTGTCGTGGCGTGTGGCGGTGCCGGTGCCGCCGCTGCGGCCGCCGCCACTGCCGCTGACTACGGTGCGGAGGTCGGGGATACCTCCGCTGCCGCGACGGCGACACCACCTGCTTTGCCTGACACCCCGGTTGCGGGCAGACCCCCTGTCGCCACCATCAGCCAGGCAGTGGTTGGCGCTCCGGTGGCGTTGTTGAGCGGCGCCGCCAGTGTCGTACATACCCGGGATGCGAGTGACATGGACAGCGAGGAGGGGGTGAAGGGGGAGGGGGGAGATAACCAACAGCAACCGCAACCGCAACCGCAACCGCAACAGGCAGCAGATGCTTCACCAGCCGCGGCGGACACTGAAATGGAGGTTGTGGCGGTTCAGCCCGGAGGCAAGAGCAGCAAGGAGGAGGATCCGCCCACCACCGCGGATGGTGAAGATGATGACAGGATGGCGGCCGTACCGCCGCCGCCGCCGTTGCCAGGAACTGACCGACATCCTGATATTGCTGCCACCGCCACGCCCGCCGCCGCCGCCGCCGGCCCCTCCTGCCCCTACCCTCGCTCTGGAGGTGGGACACCCCACAAGCGCCGCAAAAAGGCAGTTCGGTGGGAGGCGCGGCTGGCGGCGGCGCTCAGGTCCGAGCCGTCCCGCATCACATTTGGCAAGTCGGGCATCCACGGCTGGGGAATATTCGCCCGTACGGATATTCCACAGGTTTGTCAGGGGGAAATTTGATCAAAATTCATATAAGGTGGGGGTGGGGGATTTGCGGGTTGGGTTCCCGGAGAGGTCGGGAACCCGGGACTGGACTGGACTGGACTGGACTGGACTGGACTGGACTGGACTGGACTGATAATTGGAGGGGGAGGGAGGAAGGGGGTGGGTGGGTGTCTGGGGTACACACACACCAACCGAATCAACAGCGGATTGCACCTCACCCCAACCTGTCATACCCCGTGTCTTGGCCAAACATACCTATAGACCTCCCTTGGGTTGAAACACCTTCTCCGTCACCCTCACCTCCTCCCCCACCCCCACACCCACCCCCACCCCCCCGCCCGCAGGACGCAATTGTCACGGAGTTCCGTGGTGAGGCGGTGCGGCCCGTGGTGGCGGATTTGAGGGAGCGGAGGTACAAGGCGCAGGGTAAGAGGAAAGGGGTAGAAAGGGGGAGGCGGCGCAATGGGGCCCCACCCCAACCTCGAAGAGCATCTCGTGGCTTCTCGTGACCGCTGGTGGTGGTGGGTGGGGGGATGGGTGGGCGGTACTGGGTGGTGGGGGTGGGGTGGGGGTGGGTGGGGTGGTGGGCGGTACTGGTTGGTGGGGGTGGCCCAAGCCCTCGAACCCAACATCCATCCAATGGCGCCTTCCCCCCCTCCCCCCTCCCCCCCCCTTGTATGCAGGTCGCGACTGCTTCCTGTTCCACATGAACGGGGAGGTGGTTCTGGACAGCACCCATCTTGGCCACTACGGCCGCTTCACCAACCACTCGTGTAGCCCCTCCCTCTACACGAAGGTGCGGCTACATGGGGCGGGTGGCAACTGGGGTTGGGGTGGCAACTGGGGTTGGGGTAAACGGGGGTAGAAGATCGTTGATGCGGGTTTTTATATTGCGGCTGAGTACAGTGCTGTACACCCCTCGCTGTGCGCTGGAATGATACTCCCACCCAGGTGCTCGAGTTCGAGGGCGGGCGAGTGCGGCTTGTGTTTTGTGCCCGTACGGACATCCGTGCTGGTCAGGAGCTCACATTCGACTACCGCTTCAAGGAGGAAGACCATCCCGAGGCCAAGGTGCCGTGTCGCTGCGGGGCACCTAACTGCCGGGGAACTCTCAACTAAGGGAACTGATTGAGGTGCTAAGGAAATGACTGAGATGATTCATGTGTGATGAGGTTAGCAGTGAATTGAGGAACGGTTACGGCTGACTGAGGTCTGGTTCCGGGTGGGGGATATGATACATCGGTGGATGATGTGAGGGATTGTTGTAGAGGCTGTGGCTTACTGGAGCATACAAGCTGTAGGAAAATCGGTGCGTATGTAGGTGTGTGTAGGACATGGAGCAGGATAGCAGAGTGGGTTAGGTGCGAATTTGAGTGAATCAGCAAAAAAATCTTCTTCAAATGGTTGTGTACGGATATTTCCATTTGCTTTCGGTTTGTTAGTTACTGCTATGGAAAGGTCCCGGACCCTTAGGGACCCGATACCATACGGCATCCCGGGACCCATACATTTCATTGTCGGTTATAACGATATAAATGTTGCAAATGTATCATTTTTAATGCGTTAACTCTAAATTGATAAGCAGAGACCGGAGGTAAGCAGAGACATACCGTAGTCCCACTTATAATTCATGCCTGATGATTTCGGGACACCCTCAAAAACAGCCCTGGAATAAATTCGCGATTTTTGAAATTCGGGGTCGCGCCAGCAATAATTTGCAAGTACGGCACAAAAGTTCGGGGTCCCCGCAGGCTCGGCGTTTTTGTTTCTTGAGGAAACACCTATGTACTTGAATACCAAAACATATCAAAGCTAAAGCCGTATCATGGCTGATGCATCTTTCATTTTACAAGTGACAAATGCAATACAAATATTTTTCCGCGTTTAACTGGGCATTTAGACCTCCTACGGGTGAGGTTGTTGCGGAATGGTCTCGGAGCACACGTGAACTCGGGGACGCCATTCTTATGGCAAGCCTGTAAGTATTACGTGCTATTAATTAGGGGTACCCCCGAATATTTGAATAACGAATCATAAGTGGGACTACGGTATCTCGCTCCGCAAGAGATTGAATGTAGAAGCTATATCTATTCTATATCGAAATGCCAAAGGAGAAATTCCAGATAAATCGGAGCGTGAAGATAGCTTTCCTGTAAGTGGCTGCACCGGGGCCGAGCCCCTTTTCGGCTTTGAAAAGCCGCCCCCAACTCTGTGCATGGGACAAAATGTCATAGTGCATACCGTAGTGACAGGAAATGTTCGTGATTTTAATTTCGTGACGGCATCACGAAATTATGTCACATATAAATTACAAGCTGTTCCAGGCGATGGTCGTCACGAATATATGTGTGCTCCGAAGCCAAATCGTATAATGCCTTCAACACAGTAATTACTCGTCGAATTCCACTTTTCTGGCCATATATACATCCATAGTAATTGAACGGACATGGATCCGAGGGCCAAGCGGCCTAAGCAACAAAGCCTCCTTCAATGCGGACTCTTCACACTTGCTCGCGGCGCCCCAGCTACGGATAGAGCTGGTTTTGCCGCTCCTAAATAACCGTGCATGCATTGGCCAGCTTTTGCGTCAATCGACGTTCTGAGTCGGACCCATTAACGAATATTGCAGGCACCGTTGCTTCGGTTGCGTTGGCTTCTCACGAATTCAAAAGTTTCACAAATAATTTCGGGTGTAATTTTGAGGGTGTCTCGAACAATAAAATCACGAACATTTCCTGTCACTACGGTAGTGCAAATCTTGCGCAGTTGTCCAAGTCGACTCAAGAGCATTCCAATCGGAACGCCTGGCTTATCATAAGCTTATCAGGTTGTTTGTCATTGCGCTTTGGTGTATCCAACATGAAATATTGGTGCCCGCCTGTGCAGCTGACCACCTATGCTGGGGGTGAACCATTGGTGCACCCGCCCCTTCTTCATCATCCTGCATTCCAAACCATGGACATTTTGACAGAACACCCTTGTTTGTTCTGCCATACCAACCACGGCATAATAGTTTGTTGTTGTGGCCATCCATCGAATATAACTCTCCTCCATCCGTTAGGATGACACGCTATGTGCATTAACAGCCAGTGTGCAAACAGATACATAGACCTCTGAGCTGCGAGCTCTCCCTCGGCCGAGAATTTGACACTAGAGGAAATAAGCCATAGAGCAAGAGAAACATACCTCATGGAAATAGAAAATAACCCTGGTCATTCCCCTGATTTATGCCTAAAGGGAAAGCCTATATTACAGCACTTGTGTAAACGTAAGGAGTAGGTTTGTAGCTGGCAAGGGATGGGGATGGGACCCTGGCTGACAGCTTTCGGTTGTGAACACAGCTGCATGATGAGGATGGCCCTGGTCGAAGGGATGGGAAGGGATACTAGCTGACAGGATGAGGATTGCGGGGACACAGCTGCAGGATGGGATTGGAAACCCTGGCCAAAGGGATGGGGGATGGGACCCTGGCTGCCAGGATGGGAAACCTGTCTCGAGGGATGGGATTAGCGCCGGCCCGGCCCTTAAAATGGGAGATCGGAGTCGATCACCCCAGCCAGGATGGGAGGATGGCTGACCACTACCACCCCCCAGGATTGGGGGATTAAACCTTTTTTGCAACCTCTGAGAAAGCACAACATTTTATCTTTTTACCGATGTTTTCATTTCCAGGGATTCCCAAGAAGGACATGGCTCTCCTGGGGCTTCGAAAACGCAACTGACAGGTGCCTCATCATCGTTGCCTTCGCCCAGAAAGTAAGTTTATTACCATTGCCAGCGATGGTTAGCAGTATCCCAAATTTCCCACCTTAAAGTTTACATCTTCTTATTACCTACAGGGCTCCAGTGGAGCTTGTCATCATCCCCACTAAAAATGTGGGTCGCCACGCGCCACAAACCCTATTAAGTCCTAAGCAGCAGAGCCAACATGCTGGCTGCATGTAATGCAGTGTAATGTGGCGGTTATGCGCCAGGCATAATTCTCCTGGGCAAAAAAACACTCGAAAATCAAATTGTGGCTGTGAAATTTACAGAAATGTACTAAAATGAATTCACGAAGTGCGCAGCAAATAAGATGAGTAGCCTATAGGCCCATGTCCATAGTCCAGGGCAACGGAGGGGGTTACCCTGGGGCCGTGTTACCCCTCCTGCTGGGTAGGAACTTACAAGGGGGTTACCAATGGGCTACGGGGGGTTGAAGGTGGGTAACCGATGGGTAACCCATGGGTTACCGACCCAATCAGTGCCTTAGGGCATGAAGCCCGCGGCTGTGGGGCAGATTGCTGAGGCCGTTGGCGATTCGAGGATAAACATCACAGACAGCACCGAAATTCACCCAGCTTTCGTTACCATTTGCCCGCACGGGCATTCCGACTTGCAGTCTGCCGCACTGTCCATGCGACATACACCCGGGATGGATGCGACTCGTGTGGAGCCCGCAGGCGGTGCTGACAATTCCGCCGGTGCAAGCTTAGCTCTCACACCATCAGCACTGCTGCAACAAAGCACATCTCCCACCGTGTTGATACTACCCATCAATTGTCACATGTGCCACGCTAGCTACCAGCCTGTAGGGATGCAGGGGGGGCCCACCCTTTTTCTGGCTTCCTCGAAGCCGACACCCAGGTGGGGGCAATTAAAGCGGGGTGAGATAAGATCAAATGTTACACCATGACTGACTGACTAACTGAACCCAGGGGGCTGGGCCCGCCCATGGTGCGCCATTCTGCCCTCAAATACACCTGGCAAGCAAAGAGAGAATGCGCCCCAATCCAAGCTGGGATGCCAATTCGTTACACTTAGGGCAGAACAACTTGAGCTGACTAGTAAAGTTGACATGACAAACAATGATTAACAACTGACTTGATAACCTAACAAGCACTAAAAGCAATATTAATCTTCATGATAGGGTAGGGATGGGTGTGGGTGCACTACGAAAGTGACAACTAGGCCTGCAGACCAACCACTTCAGGACAGCACCCAGATGTAGCCATGGAAACCTGAAACAACCAGCACAGTAACATGTAGCAACACATAACCACACAAGTCCATACATTGTACAGTGGCACTCCAAATTCACAGAAAACCTTGGTTTTCTAGATGCTTCATTTAAAAACTATCAGATGTAGTGTGACTCTAAAGGTAGGAGATACATGTGGACACATAATACACTATTATTAGATTACCACATATTGTACACAGTCATGATAAACATAACATTCATAATCAGACATAACATGGCACTGGTTTCATACTGTTCATGCCACTGGTCAAGGCTCCTTGTTTATCATTTTTTACTTTTGTCCTTGCCCAAACTGATGAACTACCACAACCAAACTGATGAACTATTAATGATTGCGCATACACATGCACTCTGGGGAAGGTTTTCACCCGTAAATTCATGTTTACCCGTAATCACGTGGTCTTCACATGTAATTACCGGCCGAGAAAATTTGTAAACATGCTTATTTTTAAGTTGCCAAAGCATTCCTTTTATAAGGAAGAACATAGGTGACATTTTCTTGGTTGCCCGTGCTGGAAGTCATCCACAGGTTACATTACCCGTAATCACAAGGTCTTGACCCGTAATCCCCCAAGCCGTAATGCACAGCGCCCGTAAAATTTCACGGGCTTAAGTGCGACGAAGACGTGTTATGTGTGTGTGTGTGTGTTACATGGTTGGGGGTGCGTGACCCCATACCTGTAAGACTACCCATACGAGCTGAGGGCCCAAGGGTAATACTACAATGCCTAAAAGCCACGGAGGAAAGGAAAACACCGCACATCAGCCCAGACTAGCGTCTAAAGGGGGTAATTGAGTTTCGGTGAGCCCACATACATTCCAATATCCTCGCCATTCCCATTGCATGGCCTCCAACATGCTCTGTTGATGATCGAATCCCTCTTCAGCACGAATATCATTATAGGCTGGGCATTCCAATAACAGGGGTTCACATCCTCAATTCGGCTATTAGTACCACAACAGTGGCAAAACCGCTGCCCCCTGGGGACGTGGTACTTGCCCCTTCATGCTCTGTTTGCCTCAAAAGCCCAGCAACATAAACGAAACTGCATTACCTTACTATATGCTAAACGAGGAATGAAAACCTTAGCATGTG